TATTATTTTTTTTTCATACCTCCCAATTTTTCGAAGGTATATATATTTTTTTTCTTTTTGAACACATCCCCCCAAACTTGATAATAACAATGTCCCCATTGTTGCCAAAGGGACCAAAAGGGTACGGGTTGGGTGCAAGGGGAAAAGTGTTTGGGTTTAAAAACAAAAGGAGGGCCTATATCCTTTTAACTTTAACACTACCAAAAATCATCCAAGCAAATTGTACCTGAAATGAACAATGGAACTAGACAAAGCAAAAGGAAATCCAACACCCATGTCATAAATATCCACACAAAAGAAAATGACATTCCGCAAAGCATACACAAAAGACGGAATGAAAGTGTATCTGTACCCAAAAGATATATCCAAAAAAATAATGTTCAAAGAGGTTGGATCAAAAGTTCAGAATTTAACCATATCTGTCAAAATGCTCACTGTGGGTAAACAGTGGCTGCATCTGCCGCCTCAGAGCTGTGGATAATGGGAGCAGTAATGGAAACAGCAACCGCAGGAACGAACGCAGTTGTGGTAGGCAACGTAGCAACAACAGGAATGTGGGGAGCCAGAGCAAAGGGCGCAGCAACAACGGACGTCGGCAAGTGGGCTTGCAATGGTGGGAAGCACTGGACTTGAGGTGGGCAAAAACCGCTGGGGAACCGTGGAAGTTGGGCAGTCAAGAGAGTATCCTGACGTCCATAAAGTTGTCTTTCCACCCAGTTCCAGTCTCTAGTGTATGCCCAATAACGAGCACTCTTCTTTTCCAACTCGGAGACTCGGTCCTCAATACCTCCAACCTTTGACAATATCGCTTCCAATTTCTGATTTGTTTCCTCCCATTGAAGCGCCAAAACGGACAGCCAAGTGGCCGACCCATACATCGAGCCTAAAGGGTTGCTTGGCGGTGGCTCGGAGGGGCTGGCCATATCATCTCCGCATCTTGGGATCTCAGCAGTTGGTTCGGCCATGGGGACAGCGGCTGGCTCAGATATATGCACGGCAGGTGGCTTGCTAACCGCAATACTTGGTGACTCGGAAACGGCACAACTTGTGGCTCGGGAATGGCAGCAACCTGTGGCTCGGGAAGGACAACCGGTGGCGTATTTGGTTGAACGGTGGATGGCGCCACGGGCACTTTCGTATCTCTCTCAACCGGGACAGAAGGCTCAAAATGTACATAGGGCCGAGATGCCCTCTGCCGGCGGTCAATGGTGTTCTGTCCCAACAAAGGAGAGCCGACAACAATAGAATCCTCATCAATAGTCGGGACGCTAGCCTTGGCCAAAAGTTTGGTGATTAGGGCCGGAAAGACCAGGCGGGAATTTGTCCTTTGCGCGGCGGTCAAGATAGAGGCTTGTATGATCGGCCCAAGGTCGATGGGCAATTCGCTCATTATGCAGTAAAGAAGGATGCACATGTCCCTTGAGATAGTACTATCGTGCACTGTTGGGATTAAATTGTGTCGGAGAAATTGAAACCAAAGGCCTGCTTCCGTGTTAAGATGGCCGGCGAAAATGATTTGTCGCCGGTTGTCCCGCGACCAGCCGCGATCGGGGAGAGTACGGATGGAAGCGATCTCATCATCGGCAACTTCACGTGTCCCATTCATAATTTGGGCAAAGGAGCACTCTGGCGGTGGGGTGAGTCCAAGGGCCGCATTTAGATTCGGCCCCGACCAGTCTACTTTCTTACCCCGAATTTGTACCGAAATGCTTGAGGTAGTGCCGACAGCCGCGTAAAATTCAGTAACCAAAGAAACATTGGCCATCACAGGGGCAACCACCAACCTGTCCCATCCCAGAGCTACCAAATGGTGCCGTATTTCCATAAAGGAATTGACCAACCGGGGGTCAAAGGCACGCTCTAAAAGAAATTTATTGTTTTTGATACGATTGTACCTTTCCTGAAATGGCACCACCTTTTCTTTCTTTGTCTTTGGTGCAGGCTGTCGCCTCAGCCTCGCTGCTGCCTTCCTTTTTTCGAAGGTTTGGGCTTGCTGACCTTCAAAATGTCTTCATCTGGAATTTCCTCTTCAAAATCCTCCTGCTCCCCTTCTTCCTCGGCCACATCATCATCATTGGCTAGGTCCTGTGCCATCTCGTCTTCATAATCGCTATCTTCATATATGGGCTTGGGTAATGGTTGAGGAAGGGCAGACTCAGAACTGGAACTCACAATACTTCCCGAGGATGCGTCTGTGCTCATAGTCTGCCCACTGGGGGCAGTGACTGGGAGTTCCTCAATAGGAAGTGTAGTCACGGTTTGAGTCGCAGGGGGTTGTGGTGGTAAGTCATCAATTGACTCGGGAACGGAAAAAGGAAATAAATCTTCAGGATTATTAGAGGTATTGGCTTCAAAATTGAAAAGAAACTCCTCCTCTAAGGTATTTAGGTCGAAATCGTGGATGGTGGGTGGGCCGAGTGGTGTGGAAGGAAGGGAAATAAGGGGCGGTTGAGTGGGTGGTTGGTTAATCGGTGGTGGGAGGGGGTTAGATAGAGGGGTGATAGAGGGTGGTATGGTTAGGGCTAGGAAAAGGGGTCGTGTTGTTGGTGTGGGCGGAGGAAGGGTTACGGCGGCCGGCGGTCGTGCAGAAGACGAACCGGTGCCGGTGGTTGTGTTGGTGTGTATAATGGTGGAAGGGGTGAAAATAGTGGAAAATAGGGGAGGAGTTGGAGTGATACATACCGGAGTAACGACGGCGTGATACTCGTCGTAATCAACTCGTACGTTGGAGGTTTGACCGGCGATGATGGTGGATGGTTCCCGTACTGGTGGAGCGAAAGCAATGGGATCTGGAGAGAGAGGCATTGGGTAATGCATTGATGGAACGGGAGTGGTTGATGTCGTGTCGCTGGTTAGTGTCCGACGAGAGGAGCGGCGAGCAGGCGGTCGGAAAGGTGGCCGGCCGGTGGGGTTGTTTCGAGTCCTAGCCATGAAAAAGGAGAAGAAGATG